GCGATAAAAAGTTTATTTCTACTGTCCATACTTGAGGATGAAACTCCCTGACACGTGCCTCACCTATATCCAGCTCCTCTCTATTAGGTGACAACCGTCAAAGAGCCGCAAAGTTGTCACTTTTCTACTTTACTAGGTGACAGCCACTAGAGACAATTTGACGACTCATTTCATTGATCTCTAGACTTGGAGATCTAGAGATTGTCCATGTCATCTTTATTTAAGGAGAGTTTTTGAGGTCGTGGACATTACACGACGATCCTTTTGAACACTCAAGATTCCGATGCACTATCGATGCATCTCTCCTACAATGTTGAAATTCTATTTTCTTACTTTCAACTTAATTTATGTTTCATTTAGTGATATTTTATATGATTTAAATTTATCAACTACACTTCATTCAATTATGATTCTTTTGACTTTAATCGATCTTAATTTGATCAATTAAATCATCTATAATCACTTACATAAAAATTATCAGGTATAACTCTATTTTTGCCCGATTTGCATTCATCAAACATTGACATCATCTTAACGTCCGCACTTTTTTTTTGTTGTAAATTTTAAATATATTTCATTTTTATTTATTAATATAAATGTCATAGAAAATTATATATATTAATCAACTTTTAAGTAATCTACTCTCTTTGTTGATGAACAAACTCATAAGAAAAATTCAATAGTGTTAAATTCTAAAAAATGATTTTGATTCCTACCTCGCTTAAATTTTGTTGATCCACATGTTGAATATAAGGGCTTAATTTTAGCATCAATTCAAAAGTATTAATTTTTCATATTGGAGCTAAGATTTAAACAAGTAATTTATTCAATTTTCTGATGTAAATACAAAATATGGTTTTAGGTTCTAAAATGAATGTAGAATAGACACAATAAAAAGTTTTAGTTTATAAGTTGTTGTAATGTAAAATCATAGTTAGAAATATTTAAAAAAATTAAGAACATGTAAGAATTTAGTATTTATAGAATGTGTTCATTGTATTTCACTCTCCTTGTTCTCCCCTTACTTTGTGATTTCTTCCCTTTGAATTTTTTAGCTCCCCCTAACTTGCACAGCTCCTCATCTTTTAGATGTGTACATTTTCTCTTCTTTTTTATCATTAGCTGAAATATAGCGATAGTTTCAAGCTTTCTCAAGGATAATTCTATGGCAATATAATAGGAATTTATCAATTTCATTTTTAATATATGAATGAAAGATAGAATAAGAAGAAATTGATGGAAAATATGGTTGAGTCTAGGTGAGATGTTTATAATCTAGACTACTAAATAGAGAAAGCTGTCTAAATGAATTTTTCTTTTCTTAGATCAGAATTATAGTATTCAAGGGCACAAGTAATGACCATGCTCTAAGGGAAATAAGTTTTAGTGGTCAAAATATATTCCTACATATGATCAACAATTAATTCACAAAGTTTTATAGGTTAAGTTTTAAAAAATATGATATGCAAGAAAATATTCAGCAATGGTACAATGGGATTCGGCATCAGGACAAAGAATAAATATTTTCAAAGACATCTGAATGAATTATTTTTGAAATCAATAAAAAAAATGGTACATCAAATTGTGATGAGTTCATGGTAAAGTTTTTAAACTTTTGCCATCCTATGAAGATAAAATGAAGTTCCTTTATTTGAAATACAAAATGGTTTATCAATTACATTACAAGTGTCATAATAAGTATTCCCTCAAAATATAGTTACACAAGATCCATTAGATATGTGGTCATCATTACAAAATTCATTTAATAATTTGGGACATATTAACAACTTGTAGTGGTAATGTGTAGGCAAGCAAATTTGTTCAATATGACATGTAGCAACTTGTGAGATTCTACTTTTGAGTTATGAATGTAATATATTTTAAATATTATGAAATTAAATGTATGACATTTTGATGATAAAAAACATTCATAAAATTAATTAAAAAATCAAATTGTGGCTAATTCTGAATATGTAAGGTATGAGACAATAAGAAAATGTTGAAATATAATTCAATGTGTTATTGTTAAATGTTCAGATGATAATTCATTGAACATAATTTTGACTGGTAATGTTCAGATGGTAATTATATATTTGATTGATTTCATCGTTTGAAATTATCACACTACATATTGTTGTGAAAATTATTAATATCATAGTGATAAATAATGATTACTAAATATAAATCAATGAGATTAATTGAATTAAGATATGAGTATGAAATCTTACTTAATATACCATGTTCTCATACTGTTAGATTATTAATTTTAAATATTTTGATATCGAATTAATTGATTAAATTTAAATTAGTCATTTTACCACATATGAGTTTTTATCTATTAAGGAATATACTTTGATAAATTATTTTTTAGACATCATAAATCACCAAAATCATGATTATAAATATTGAGCTCATGACTTCATGATCATATTTTATTTGAGGTGATTCAAATAAGATTTGATTACAAAACCTTCATCTTGTCTAGATAGATATTCTCAGCCCTATTTTAATGATATTATATTTTACTCTTTTTTTATTGAAACAATATGATTCCAAAATATATGTTGCACTTCAATAGAATGATGTACTAGTTTCTCATAAGGATATAGGAACTTGTAAACGACATCATATTGGTTTTCTAGCAATTAAAATTTATAATAATATTTGGTACTAAAACCATTGAAAAATCATGAAAAATAGGAGAAGATTTCTCCATAAATATAACACATTTCTAATAGGTAGGCAAATCTAATAGATCATCCTTAACCCTTTTATTAGATTGACACCTATATTGAATTTTGTAGAAAAATCTAATGAAACTCGTGGTGTCTTTACTAGGTAGTCAAACTATATGAAAGCATTGAATTGATGAGCATTATTTAGGCACCTACAAATCATCCATGAAAAAATCATTAAACTCTGATCATCATCCTCTTTGTCCAAACTCTAGGCAAACTTCAAGTCAACATCATCACTCAAAAACATCTAACAATGATATATTTAATATTTTTAGTATGATAAACATGAAGCTAAATATTTATTTGATTTGGCATGAGAGTTGTCCCTATAAATAGCCATTGGTCTCTTAAAACCATAAATCTAGAAAATAATTTTAAGTAAAATTTGAAAGGAATTAAACTTGATAATTAGTGGTTCATGATTGAATGATCATAATAAGTAGAACAAAAAATAAAGTTTATTCTTAGAGATTGGATGTAGGCAATAAGTTAAACCACTATAAAAGTCATAAAGTGTTGTAGTTTTAAAACACATAAAATTAATACATTAGAAGTTAATCAATGTCAAATATTATAGATCAATCAATTCAGCCCCCTCCTTGATGTTGAAATTATCTAGTTATGACAATTGATGTAGGATTGTTGCATCAAAATATCTTTTCTAATATTTTTATTTTGTGACAATTAATTGACATTCATATTGTTTCAAATTGAATCTTTTCATGTTCGCAAAGTATATTGAGTTTGATTGTCACTTTATTAAAAAAAATGGTCAAAAGTTTTGTCAATTCTTCTAATTTGATATCACTATTAATTGGTGAATATGTTAATTTAACCTCTTCAAGTTGGTCATTTATTTTATTTATTATCCAAGATGACTATTAAAAATATTTATATCTTACCCTGTTATAGAGATTTATGATTATTTATACATGTGAATGAACATGTATGGAGAAATAGATATTTCACAAACCCCTCTATTTAGTGACAGATCGATGATTTATATTTCTCTCATTTCTAATGCTCTATTTGTCACCATCAATTATTCTCTTCTCTTTCATTCTGCCATCATAACATGTTGTCAAGGCCAACCATGGTTTCAAAGGCCAAGGTTCAAGTCAAATTTTCTCCTCACTTGAAGATTAAAATTTCACTTATGGCCCATTCATTGTCTTGCGTAAAATGATACACTGACTTTAATTGCTATCCACATGACATTCATAGCATTAGAACTATATAGCATGAAACTAGGATTAAAGTTTGGGTTCATAAGTAAGATCCAAAGTAAAATTAATGGGCTAGGCCAACAATCTATGTCATCCCTTAAATGGACTAGGTTCTTATGTTGGTTAAAATATTATTTTATGATTATTGTGTTATGAGGGGTGCTACACTATAGTTCCCAATGTAATTGGCAATCTCTTCAGTTAAAATTTAGTCATGTTCTAATTATTTATTAAAATAAAACTATAGACTAGTTAAATAATTTTAAATTAAGCTCCATGTATAATTATTTAAACAAATTAGACGAATCTCAAGGTATCTAACATTGTCAAATCCAAGTGTCCTTGGGTTTTTTTTAAAAAAATACTTCTAGGTTTAATGGGACATAAATGTAATTAAAAAGGAGTTTTATGAATATTTAATTTTTCATTAAAATATACTGGAAATTAAAAGAACCCCTCCCTCTTTGGGGGTTAACGGGAACATAAACGGGAGGGGAGCGCGATGCCGTTTAATGGACGGAATTGAGGTAAAAGAAGTCAGAGAGAGAGAGAGAGAAGAGAGGAATGAAAAGAAGGCGGCGGCCCCGAGGGGGCGACGCTGACGAGGAAAAGGAAGAAGTTTGCGTAGGGAACAGAACAGACGTCCGTTAAGAATTACCAATAAGTTGTGGTTAGGTATCCGTTAATCTTAATCTCGGAAACCCTAAAAATAATATTATACTGAGACTACAGGCTGTGCTGCAGCCCTGGCGGTCCCCCCCTCTTTCTCTGGCCCTCACGGGGCGGCAGATCAGCCCAGCTTCGGTGTTTCCCCCATGGTTATCCCTCATCTTAGCGGCCTGCCGGGGCTCCGCAGCTCCCTTTGGGAGTTCTGAAATCTGGAGGAGTAGGCGCGGAAGGGGAAGGGAGCCAGGATTGTGGGAATCGCATGCAGAAATGGAAGTGGGGATGGAGTAGGAGGGGTGGGAGGGAGAGAAATGGTGGAGGGGGAGGAGGGGAGATAGGGTGTGGCCTCTGCGTGGGTCTTTGAGGGGAGATGGGCACGGCAGCGGGGGATGGTGGTAAGGGTTTAAGGGCTGAGAAAGTGAGGAGGATATTCCAGAGGTTTGACGGGAATGGTGATGGCGGGCTCGACCGGGAGGAGATGGCGGCGCTGGTGGTGGCCGTCAATCCTCGCGTCAAGTTCAGCAACGAGCAGATCAACGCCATCCTCGACGAGGTCTTCCGCACATACGCGGGATTCATCTTGCCCGAGCGCGGCCTCACACTGGACGGCCTCCTCCGCACCTACGAGGATGGCGCCGGCGACGTGGACCGCGATTTCGACGCCCTCGGCCTCGGCCTCGGGGATCCTCCTCCCCATCCCTCTCCTCCCACCGCCGTGGCCCCCCCTGTGCCTGCAGCTGGCTCCGTTGTCTCCGAGGCATCCTCCTCCGTTGCGCCTATAGATCGCGCCTCTTCTGGAGTCACCCCAGCCGATCCTCTCGAGGCACAGCAGCAGCAGCGGACAGCGGCTTGGGCGGCGTCCCCCAACCACGGGATCCGATTCAAAGAGACTTGGCAGCTTGTGGACGACCTGGAAATTCTGATAAAGAGGGTACGAGTGCAGCAGATGAAGAAGGATGCCAAGGTGAAGTCCTCGGCAGCAGGAGACAGCAGCAACACCCTGGATAGCTTCTCTGACGCGGGCTGGTCGAGGGAGCTCGGGCCTCCTCATGAGGGGGCCCCGCGGTTCTCCTGGGATGAAGGAACCCGGGACTTCGCCACCTTCAGGAAGGAGCTCAACGCCCTCCGCAGCCGCGCTGACGGCGCGCAGTCCAGAGAGGAGTCCTTCGACGGGCACATGGCGATAGGGCGTGGTCTGTACGCGCACCTGCTGTTCGGAGAGGCGTTGGTGAGCTTCCGACGCGCCTGCGATTTGCAGCCGACTGATGTCCGGCCGCACTTCCGCGCGGGCAATGCACTTCATGCCCTCGGTAAGCACGCAGAGGCGAAGGAGGAGTTCCTGCTTGCCCTGGAGGCGGCAGAAGCGAGTGGTAACCAGTGGGCATACCTTCTTCCTCAGATCCACGTCAATCTTGCGATCGCAATGGAAGGGGAGGGAATGCTCCTTAGCGCCTGTGAGCATTATCGCGAGGCGGCGATTCTTCTCCCCACCCATTTCAGGGCCTTGAAGCTACTGGGCAGCGCACTTTTTGGGGTGGGTGAGTTTAGGGCGGCGGAGAAGGCCCTGGAGGAGGCCATATTCCTCAGCCCTGCCTATGCAGATGCGCATTGTGACCTTGGCTCGGCATTGCATGCCTTGGGGGAGGACGAAAGGGCAATTCAGGAGTTCCAGAAAGCGATCGACTTGAAACCCGGGCATGTAGACGCACTTTACAATCTTGGAGGTCTGTTTATGGCTGTTGGCAGGTTTCCAAGGGCTTCAGAGATGTACACAAGGGTTCTGTCAGTGAGGCCAAACCACTGGAGAGCTCAGCTGAATAAGGCAGTCTCATTGCTGGGAGCTGGAGAAGCTGAGGATGCAAAGAAGTCACTTCAGGAGGCCTTCAGAATGAGCAAGAGGGTCGAGGTGCATGATGCAATTGCACACCTTAAGACTCTTCAGAGGAAGAAATTGCTGAAAGGCGGTGGAGCTGAAGGTGACAATGGCTATCTTGTTATTGAGCCATCAAAGTTCAAGCAGGTGGGAAGGAAGACAACACTGAGGCAGGAGCTGGCCACTGCTCTTCAGATCAGGGCTTTCCAGATAGTCACCAGGATGAGCCGTTGTGATGTTGACCACTTGAAAAATGAAATGAGCAGGGCTGAAGTACCCGTTTCGTACTCTGGTAGTGGTGTTCCTGAAAAGTCTATCCGCAAAGCTGCATTGGAGGTCATTCTCCGCAAACTGCTCCACTTCCTCAAGCCTGAAACATTTCAGGGAGCTGTGAAGGCCATCAATGAGAGGATTCTCTCAGTCTTAGATTATTCAGGTTCGGGCAGAGTGGACTTGGGTATGTTCTTTGCCATGTTAGCTCCCATTTGTTCAGGCAATCTCGACAGGCGAAAGCGAGCAGTCTTTGATGCACTTCTGTGGCGGCCTAATGATGAAGGAGCCTTAATCAAGAAAGCAGATGCAATTACTTACCTTAAAACTCTGAGGGCCATTTACATCCCTTCTCTTGGTGTCAGTGACATGATGGAGCTTCGTGGGGACTCTGACACCTCATTGGTTTCTTTTCCAGAATTTATAGAGATGTTTGATGATCCAGACTGGGGATTTGGAATTTTGGGCACATTGGTGAAACTTGAATCTGGGGACAATATAAGGCATGCTGACCATTACTGCTCCACATGTCGGTACCCAATCATTGGTTCTAGGTTCAAAGAGATAAGTTATGGCTTCAGCCTGTGTAATTATTGCTACAGTGAAGGAAAGGTACCATCTACTTTCAAGTTAGAGGAGTACAGATTCAAAGAATATGGAAGAGAGGCTGAAGCCATGAAAGATAAGTGTGTATGCTTTAAATTTCACTCTAAGAGCAACTAATCTGATTGAAAGTAGGCTGATTCAGGAGCCAACTTAGTTTCCTATTGTGTTCAATGTGTAGGTCAATGTCAAGTGTACACAAATAGACCTCGATCTTCATGTAAACTAGATGTGAATGGAAGCCACTATTTTTTTTTTCCTTTGGTTGCGTGAATCATTATTTTTTCTTTCTTGATCAGTTAACTATTCAAGTTGCCGCATAAATATTGCATTTGCTCTTGGCCATAGTGAGCGATGTACATCTTCCTAAGGTATATCTTTTTTCCCATCTGATCACCATACATGCCCATAAAATTTAAGGTTTAATATTCACAGTCGAAACACTTTGGTGTGAAGTATAACATCACTTTTGAGTTTAAGAGTATCCTCCTTTCTAAGACATCAGTTTTGGAATGGGAAATTTGGGAGAAAAACCAAGAAACAAAACCGGTATTCGAATATTTATAATTTTTATTCACGACGAGTGGTTTTGATGGCTTTATCTTTCAAATTTTAGAGGTGTGAAGTTCTTGGATGAACTTGTCCATTGGCAGAGCCAACTGGAAACAATGTTGATGTTATTTTTTCTCTGTAGCCGTGGATAATAGCCTTGCTGAGACGCTGTAATATGACTGTTTGACTAATGGCTGTTCATATAGCGTTCTGCAGAGGAGTTTAAAATTTAGAATAACAAGATTTTGCTCTAATAATTTTTCTTCCGAGTATCATTCATCCTTCTACCTATCTCGTTTTATTTGTTGCCTACAGTGATACGGAAATATAACAGGCTTAGAAATGCTTATAAACTTTTGTATTTTTTTATTTCTACTTCTTGATTTTATTTATTTATTTATTTATCAGTTTGCGTGCACATGTTCCCCTGGCTTCTCTTCTGTTCTTTTTGTGTCACCGTGTATTTTTTATATTATTCTCTGCATTTCTATTAGTGTAGATTGATACTAGGCATATATAAGATCTAAAATAACTGATATACAGGCAAGCACACACTACACCCTTCATCATACTGGGGGACCCAAATCTCTGCTCTTGTTAGTGGATTGTGTTGGGCTTAATGTTAACTTTTTTATCTCATATCTGCCTTTGTGTACATCCCTCTTCTCCTCCTTCGTTATCTTCTTTGCCCTGACATGCAGTCAGTTGCCTCGTCAGATTATGGTTTGAAGTGGCAGAATGGTGGCAGAGGAGTCTAGGAAGACAAAATTCGCGGCTTAGAGGTGATGCAATTATAAGCGAACTAAGTTGAAGGTAGGTGTCAAGTGGCTTTTGCTTATAATATTTATGCGTGTTGAGGAGGGTACAGCACATACTTTGAAGTGGGGCTTTTAAGGAAACTGCAAGATTTGGTTAAGATCTGACAATCTACATGGCTTCCAACCATGTGTGCATTTTTTGTAGAATGCATGTCAATTTTGGTAAGTTCATTCTTATTTCCCATCAATGTTATAATGTCATAAAGATGGGGACAATGCAGAGACTACATTCAGTTATGAAGCACGCCCTCTTGCATCGTCAGCGATGGGGCATTCTGGTTATCCATATATTTAGGTTTTCGATTTGAATGCGACTCTTGAAACATGAACTTAGAAATGAGTAGCATTTGGTAGATATTTCTGCGCCATCAAAGATTGAGAGGTGAGATGGGCAGTACCTTACCTGGCCTTAGTTCAGCTGGCTGAAATGGTCGGCATGAATCAGAATATCCGACCCTAAGCTAGCTCGAGCCTGGCCTGGTTTATCGGGCTAGCCAATCCAATCCCGAGGATCATGAGTGGAACGAAGCATGCTTTAAATTCCTGGAATTGTTTCATGTTTCTATATCAGCGCACTTTATTTTCAGTCTCATAAGAACAATAGTTTTCTTTCCTTGTAAACGTCTACGTTCCCATGCGAATCTCAACTTATTTTGTGAATTCGTCTTTGCAAACAATTGGTACACCTGAGAAAACGCTCTATGTTACTAGATTTAGCAATTTTTTATAATTTCTGACACACTATATTCATGCGTTGCAATTATACGAGCATAGGTTCCTATTAAGTTCATTTTTATAAAACAATCATCAATGCCAGAGTTTATCGACTGAATGGGCTCACAGAGAGACTCCTTCAAAGTTCCATTAGGATCAAATGGGACAGATTGCACGATAAATTTTGCTACATAGCGCACCTTTCTCGTCGGTTCTGGAGTGTACAGGCGAAAGAGCCTTTTCTTCTGAGGCAACTCTTCCTTAATGGTCTGTGTTCTTGTTATGGATTATCTTTTTATTGGCTTCATTTAGTTTGTGAAGACTTGCTGCATAATGAAAAGAATGATGTTATTGAAACTTGAGGGGTTAGCCCACTATCTCTTGGGCACCCATGAAGGAAATCATGCTTATTTGATTTGTATGGATTTTCTGGTAAATCTAAATCTATAAACTTTACTCATTTTATCATATTTTCCAACAATATAGACTAAATTTATCGTGGGTGCAACATCTTGGATCCAATTCTTGCTCTAGAGAATTGAATGGGAAAAAACTCAATGAGAATGTTGTTTTTTTTATGGGATGCTACTTATTTTCTTCTCCTTATGGGTTCGTTTTTGACATGAATGATACTGCATGCGGTAAATACTAAAAATAGAAGCATATAAAAGTAATGATAATTTCTATGATTGACAACAAGATGCTGTAGTTTATACTTGCTGGGAAATAATTTTGTTTCTCATTGAAAGAACTCAAAAGCATTTTTTTCATTCCACAACAGAGAGAGAACTATCCTCTCTACTGAGAAACTTTAGTGTCTCAAAATTTTGTTGTTCCCTTTGTTCCGATTATTTTCTTGATGATAAGTACGAATTTCTTTCGCAAAAAAAATTCAAAGCTTACTCGAAGACATTTAACATGAACGAGACTGATCATTGACGGCTGTCAGCTTGTTAACAAGTATGGAAACCTAGCGTTTGATGAGGACGTTTTCAAGTATGATTGCATTTTTTGTTTGCTTCCCTTGGAGTTGCCCTCTTATTAACACTATGACTCCAAATTGACACTGTTGAGTCTCAAGGTCGAATGGTTTTTTTATAGTAAAATAATCCAACCCACACGGAAGATAATGCAGATTTTAATAATGATGATGGTCTTCCAGTGTTGACACTACACAAATGTCAACAACTTCATGGACTGTTGAGATCTTGTTGGCATTCTATTTTAATCAATATTGCAGTATCAAGTTCAAACCCAATTAGTGCCCAACTGTCATGGGATCTTTGTACTGTTTGCTCCCCATAATTATAATTCTTCGCATATTAATTCAGCAGTCTCTAGAAAGGTTCGTTATAATAAAAATTCAACCTACATTAATTAAACATATTGTTCGTTAGCAAGAAATAATAGATTAGGCCATCTTCAAGAGACCAACTAGAGAAATGAGTATCCCAATAATGATGATCCTCAACTATTAACCCGCTATTGGATATATTAATAATCTAGTCTCAAAATTGAAACCCTTAATTAATCCATGAGTTTCCAAAACCACTCCTCCCGGTTATTAGCATCACTAGTGATCATGTAACTGACAGGTAGCTTGAAAGAATTCAGGACCTAAGAGCGTGTCCTTACTCTCTAAGAGCATCTACCTTATAGAGTCCACGCATGCATATCATCTTCAAACCCAACAGGTAATTAGTTGCATTGCCTAACTTTAACTGTAGCCTATCATTTACACTACTGTATCCAAGGACTTTGGATATCTTGTTTAGGTCCATATCAACTTGCTTCACCCAACTCTCAAAATCCCCCACTTTTTTCAACAAGAGTTTGTTTGATGCTAATGTAATTAAAGCTCTAGTCACATTCTCCTTATTTCCGAGTTGTTGATGGATATTATCTTGCCTGAGAGGAGCTGACATGCTCAGGATTTTTCAGCAATCAAAATGGCCTAGAAATTTGGTGTTCAAAGTGGCTTTATGCAAGATCTCAAATAGATGGATGATCAATGAGTAGCCACTTAGGACGAAGAATCCTAAAGGTAAACATATGCCTTCTGTTAAAAAAAATATAACATTTTTTTTCTCCTTTTAAGATGTTTTATTCACATCTTGAACCATGAAAATTACTCAATGTTTTGTTGAAAGATATTATTATTCCCTATCTCTTTTTTTCACTTCTTTGTTTTGTTGCCAAAAATGGTATATTTTCATTGTCATTGTAAAAGCATTATCATTTTGATTTTTGAAACATACTCAATGGAAATGGCAATATTTTAGATTAAGTGTGCTTTAAAAAAATGTTAAAATATATATATCATATATTTTTTTGAGGATTGACTCAGTTCACAAGAACTCACATATTTTGATGAAAATAAAAATGTGATTAATTGGGTAAGATGGACTTATTGTTATTGGTATGCTTTATATGCTGAAAAGAAAATGAAATATAAATGACGGGATTGAGAGCCAAATGTAGGGACCTAACTACAATTTTCTCATTACTATTAAATGTTCTACTAATGATGAAATTGCATTGAATTATAAAGTATCATGGAGAATAAAAAGAGACTCAATGTTGAAATTTAATTAAAATTAAACTGAAATGCTGGCCAACTATTTACTTTTCACCTTGAAATCCATTAATAACATTCCATAATCCCATTGAGAACGGTATGGAGCCATGGCTACTTATGCATCTTCAAGGATTATTTTAAGAAAACATTTTTTAAAAGGTTATTAGGCAATAGAAGATGGGGAAATGTTCAATTGGGAAACATATACCCAAACCATTAAATAATAATCAAAATGAACCAATATTTTGGTAGAGAGATTTGTTCAGTCGAAACTTATTTCAATAATTTTTATCTACATTCATTTTAAGTGGTTGGTGTAGCTATTGATAAGTTTGGTGCAAGTGATGAATCTCTAGTACTTGCACAATGTGTAAAGTAAATTTTGTACAAAATGAGATAATAAAAAAAGAAATAGTATTTACGAAATAAATAGTTATAATATAATGTTTGACTGATGA